AGACCTAAAACGTTGCAGTGACCCTAAGGTCAGCATACAGCATTATGGAAGTCAATTGATGAAAGGAGTTGTAGCTCTGTTCTGCCTCATGGTGAGCCCAGTGGGTCTCCGAACCAGTCATGTGGCTATCTCTGCAGTTCTGGAATGTATACTTGGGATAGACATATTTAGCAGCATCAGATTCTTCACATTTGTTCCTTGACTTGTGGAGGGAGGGTTATTATGGAGGGGAAGGCCAAGTAAAAGCTATGAGAACCACCTAGAGAAATAGTAAATAAAATTTAACAACACATTCATGGAGGGGTTGCAGAGTTTACTTCCACCACCCAGGACTTGAAGGATGCAGGAGCGGCAATTCCTACCACGTCCTGTTTGGCCTGTGCAGAAGACAGATGGATCTTGGAGAAGGACAGTGAATTATCATCATTTCAACCAGCTGGTGGCTCCAGTTGTAGCTGCTGTTCCAGATGTGGTTTCATGGCTTGAGCAAGTGAACACTCACCCTGCTAAGTGGTATGTAAGTTTATGTATTTAATCTGGAAAACACCTCTTTATCTATCCTTGTCCATAGGCCCACTAGAAGCAGTTTGCTTTCAGCTGACAAGGCCAGTAATATACTTTCACTGCTCTACCACATGGGTATATCAACTTTCCAGCCTGACACCATAATTTACTTTGATCTAAAACTGATTGACTCTCCCTTTCAACAAGATATCACACAGGTCTGTTACACTGCTGCCTCTATGCTGGTTGGCGCTAGAGAACAAGAAATAGCAACTACTCTAGACTCATTGGTAAGGCATTTATGTGTCAAAGGATGGAAAATAGATCACACAAAAGGCAGGGGCCTTCTATATCAGTGAAATTTCCGGGGGCCCAGTGGTGTGAGCCATGTCAAGATCTCCCTTCTAAGGTAAAGGATAAGTTGTGACATCTGGCCCCAACCAAGAAATAGGCACAGCACCTAGTGACTTCTTTGAGTTTTGGAAGCAGCATATTCCTCATTTGGATGTGTGACTCCAGGCTTTTTTATGAAGTGACTGCAAATGCTGCCAGTTTAGAAGGGAACTCAGGACAAGAGAGGGCTGTGCAATAGGTCCAGGTTGCCGTGCTGGCTGCTTTGGACCATAACATTCAGAAGGTCCAATGGTGCTTGATGTGTCTGAGGCAGCTGTGGACGTCCTTTGGAGGCTTCTGAAGGCCCTTAAAAGAAAACTGATGCACAGGACTTAAGAATTGTGGAGCAAGGTCCTTCTATCATCTAGGCAACCAGTCTGCTTTAGAGAAACAAAACATCTGCAAACTTTGTAGAAACTGAATGCTTAAACTTGGGCCATCAAGTTACCAAGTGACCTGAGCTGCCCATCATGAACTAAGCGGTATCTTAACCACCAAGCTGCAATACAAGATGTGCAAGGCCACACTCCAGCATCAAATGGAAGTGGTATATGTGTGATCAGGCCAGAGCAGGTCCAGAAGGCACAATCAGTTACATGAGGAAGTAGCTCAGAAGCCCACAGTCCTCACTTCTGCTACACTACCTTTTCTCTCCCATCCTGTACCTGTGACCGTGGGGGTCTTCCCCACTATGGTGGAGAACTGACAGGAGAAGACTCAGGCAAGCTGGTTTATGAATGGTTCTGCACAATATGCAGGCACCACCTAAAAGTGGACAGCTGCTGCCCTCACCCTGTCTTTGGGACATCTCTGAAGGACAGTGGTGAAGGGAAAGCCTCCCTGGAGACAGAACTTGAGGCAGTTAGCTTGGCTGAGGGAGAAGCACTTGGGAGGAGAAATGGTCAGACACACCGAGTGATCAAGGACTTGAAAAAGTCATGATTGGCGAATTGGTCACAAAGAAAAGCAGGGAAGAGGGATGTGGGCAGACGTCTTTGAATAGTTGAAAGACATGAAGATATCTGTGTCTTATGTGAACGTTTCTCAAAGGGAGATCTCAGCAGAGGAGGATTTTAATTATCAAGTAGATAGAATGATACAATATTTATTCCCTCTGCCTAGAATGTGCTTCCTCAGCTTGGCTTGACTGGCTCCAAAATGGTATTCAACTCTGAACAGGAACATCACTTTTGCTTATGCAAATAAAATTCCCCAATTTTCTCCTAAACTTGCTTCTTACCTTCAAATCATTTGTGATTAAAAAAAAAATTGCTGATGTGTTATTTAAAGCTTTGCTTTCTGAGGCTACCTTACCTAGGAGTTGGTGACTACATGGGGACAGAAACTCTAATTTTTTCCTCACCACTGATCACTCACGTTTTGATTGAGAAAATAATTGGGGATATCTATTTAAATATTGATCTTTGAGCTGATCACTGATTAGAGGTCTGCCTCCATCAACTACTGCTCTCTACTGTTTGGTTTGTAACATCAGCATATTTATGGTTTACAGTAACATTTTTATGTTTGTTATTAATTTTGCATAAATTCACCCTCCAGGATTTGTGTTCAATAATAATTTGTGTTATTTGTGTTCCATTTTCTTCCCTGGAGAAGGAAATGGCAACCCGCTCCAGTATTCTTGCCTGGAAAATCCCATGGACTGTAGCCTGTAAGGCTCCTCTGTCCATGGGGTCACAGGAGTTGGACACAACTTAGTGACTAAACCACCATCACCACCAATAATAATTAGCTGAAAGTCTAATTTTATATGTTAGGTTCTGCTGGTTTTCCACTCATCTACTACTGGTTTTTCAGTATCATGCCAGGACATGGAAGCAACCTAGATGCCCATCAGCAGACGAGTGGAAAAGGAAGCTGTGGTACATATACACCATGGAATATTACTCAGCCATTAAAAAGAATTCATTTGAATCAGTTAAAATGAGATGGATGAAACTGGAGCCCATTATACAGAGTGAAGTAAGCCAGAAAGATAAAGACCATTACAGGATACTAACACATATATATGGAATTTAGAAAGATGGTAACGATAACCCTATATGCAAAACAGAAAAAGAGACACAGATGTATAGAACAGACTTTTGGACTCTGTGGGAGAAGGCAAGGGTGGGATGTTTCAAGAGAACAGCATCGAAACATGTATGTTATCTAGGGTGAAACAGATCACCAGCCCAGGTTGGATGCATGAGACAAGTGCTCTGACCTGGTGCACTGGGAAGACCCAGAGGGATCGGGTGGAGAGGGAGGTGGCAGGGGGGATCGGGATGGGGAATACATGTTAATCCATGGCTGATTCATGTCAATGTATGACAAGAACCACTACAAAATTGTAAAGTAATTAGCCTCCAACTAATAAAAATAAATGAGAAAAAAGTCCTTACACGCAAATAATGAAAGATCTAAGGTATCTGGATCTCCTACGACTAGTGGAGTGAGCAGATGTGAGAAAAGAGAATCCTTAATGACAGTGATTTGCGGACAGATGTAAGGACTAAACCTGCAGCTCCTCACTCAACAGAGACGGAGTTGTGTGCAAAGGCGGAGACCTTGGTAGTGGACACTAGGGTGACTGCCTTACAACAATTCATTAACTTCTACCTCTGTAAAGCGTGCTTTTCTATACATGTGTGAATTTTACAAAAAAAAAATATTTTAGAAGTAACAAGATAGATTAAAAACTTTAATGAAATACCTTACTTATAAATATTGAAAATACAGATACAGAACGTGTAGATAAAACTGTAGATAAAACTAATACTTAATCTATACAACAAAACAACTTAAGTAATACTAAATGAGGACCCTCGGGAAAGAAGCTGTGAGGCCTCCTTCAGTCTGTTGCAGATGAGGCATCCCCTCTGGGGTCCAGGTCTTCAGGGACTCAGCGCAGAGCCTGAAACATGAACACAGGGGATGGAGTCCCTGGGGAGGCACAGTGTCAGACAGAAGAGGCTTCCCTGGGGAGGGGGGGCGTCCGGGACCCAGAAGACCTCCCAGGATCTAGACTTGGCTTTGGGGCTCAGATCTGCAGGGCACTGTGTCTGGTTGCTGCTCTTTGCTGAGGGTGTTGTCTGTGAGCGGGAAGTGTTTAGAAATGTCCCACAGGAGCAAGGACACCTGGGCATCTGGCCGGCAAACCTCAACTGATGGGTCCCCTGGACAGTGAGACTCAAGCAGAGAAACAGGGGACTCTGGGATTTGGGACTAAAAGCATGGGTCCCCCTTCCTTCTAGGCCCTGGGAGGAGCAGGGGTGGGGAGATAACACAGGGGGTAGGAGAACCTTCCCAACCACCCTTCATTCAGTACAACTGCTCCTGAGACCTGAGTGCTGGAAATGGACACACACCTGAGGTCTCTCTCTTCCCTAATAATCATTTCCAACTCCCAGCCAAACTCTTCTGAGGTTTATGATTTTAAACTGGCAATATGTTTTTGTAATAAAAATGTACATTTTATATGTTTAGCATATTGTGACATTAAAATTGACAAAAGACACTGCTTTTTAAATTGTAATTAAACAAGATATATTATTAATGACATAATTGGGAAAAAGATAAAAGGAACATGAGTAACTTGAATCCTGCCACTCATTCCAAGGATGCTGCTCAGGTGCTTCAGTCATGCCTGCCTCTGTGCAGCCCTATGGATGATAGCCCAGCAGGCTCCTCAGTCATTGGGATTCTCCAGGCAAGAATACTGGAGTGGGTGACCATTTCTTTCTCCAGGGGACCTTCCCTACCCAGATATCAAACCCTGAGTCTCTTTTCTCTCTTGCATTGACAGGTGGGTTCCTTACAACTACACCATCATCCCAAGTGCACACGGCACTGAGTTTCTTTCTGGTGTTTCTTTGTTTAGGGAACTGGAAACACACACAGAAAAAACTACAGAACCTCCAACTTAGGTTGAGAAAAGGTGCCTGAGGTAACCCAGGATCCCAGGGTTCCAGATCCTGAGGGACCCCAGACTCGGGCACCCCCAGGCTGGCTGGGACCCTCAGGACCAGGGAGCACCCACAGGGATGCAGAGCTGCCAGGTCACCCCCTGCCTGCAGGAGCTCTGGGCGCCTGTGTCTCCTTCACTCTGTTCCCAGGAGCCCGGGACTGGGGAGGGCGGGGCCGCCCCCACCTCTCTCTGCAGCTGGTGGTGGACTAGGGGTGCCCCCTGCTGCCTTTGGGGGGTTGGAGGCCAGAGCTGGGTCCTGCAGAGGGAGATGAGGAAGCCCCCACGGGGGATCTTCAAAGAGAACATGCTGGAACAGCAGTTCCTGGACTCCTACACACAGTGGCCCCACAGTGCCCCAGCCTCCCTGCAAAGGTAAGAGCTGCAGGAGGAGCCAGCCCAGCAACCTCGGGGGCATCTGGGGACGGGACCTGTGCCCGGGGTAGACATGCTCAGGGCATCCTCCACTCGTCTGCATGGATTGTCCACCCTCTGGACACGGGCCTCTCACATGGAAGCACCTTCAGCACATCAGCCTTCACTGGTGTGGTGGCTCCAGGAGTCCGAGCCCAGGCAGGGGCCCAGATCCTGTGTGCTGTGACTCATCCCCCCATGGGAGTGCCCTCTACATGAGGGATTAACAGTGAGGACAAACATGAGGGGAAGTCACAAGTCCTGAACCTGCAGGAGAAGAGAACTGACCTGGAGTTTGTGATGGACAGGAAGGCCTGGCATGCTGCGATTCATGGGGTCGCAAAGAGTCGGACAAGACTGAGTGACTGAACTGAACTGAACTGAACTGACAGGCACACGGCCTCCAGTATCAAGTGGCAATGAGAGTTTTGCATCCTAGGATATGGCCATCATAGTTCAGCATGCAATAGAAAGCAGAGTCTGCAGTGCACAATACCCGAGATGTGCTGACCAGATAGCAGGCTTCCATACTAGTCAGTGACAGAAGCAGGAAAAGGAAGCTCTTATGGGAAAAATAATCTTTGAAGAGCAAATAAAGAAAAAACATTATAAACACAGCTCAGTGCAGGTCCAGGATAAAATCTCTCTATCATGTCATTAAAATATGAGAAGCATAAGTCTACACACTTTTCCTTCTTCCTAATTTCATGTTCTCCTTCCTTAGCCTCCAAGCAGGGTGTTTAACCCTAAATTTCCAGGAACCCTCTCCCATCAGATCCCAACTGAATGTTGTTTCCTCTTGTGTCCCTTCCTCATCACTGCACCGAATGGTCTCCACAATGCATTCCATAGAAACGCAACCATGAGCAACCAGGTGATTAGAATGAGCAACCCACCCACTTCTGCTCCAGTTGAGGCCATGCTGGCTCTCACAGCATCACCCTGAACTTCTTCCTAGGATTCTGGAAAGACATTGCATTGTGGATAGCAGATGGCAGTCATCTGTGCTCTGTGCAGTCAGAGCCCTCCAATAAGACTCTGATCTCAGTTGCAAACCTAGAGATGCTGAAAGAGTCAGTTCTCAACCTCTCACTTCTACAGGCCCATTAGAGCTCTCACCTTCATGCCAACCAACCTGAAATCACAAGTGTTTTTGACACACATAAAACATGCCTTGAAGCAATTATAACAGTCACATCTGGCTAGTGGCTACCACACTATAAAACACAACAACCACTATATAAGTTTATACATGTGCACGTGCTTAGTCACTGAGTCATGTTCAACAATTTGTGACTGCATGGACTGTAGCCCTCCAGGCCCCTCTGTCATGGAATTCTCCAGGCAAGAACACTGGAGTGGGTAGTCATTTCCTTCTTCAGGGGATCTTCATGACCCAAGTTTCAAACCCAGTTCTCCTGCATTGCAGGTGAATTCTTTACCATCTGAGTCACTAGGGAAGATTGAATGAATCTGGAGATCAGTGCCACTTGTTCTAACACTTCTGATAGATTGTGGTAGAACAGTTTCTGGAATGCCAGGGGACTTTATTTTAAGGGAGGGTTAGGGCTTGCCTGGTGGCTGAGTGGTAAAGAATCTGCCTGCCAATGGAGGAGACATGGGTTGGTTTCCTGGGTTGGGAAGAGGCTCTGGAGGAGGATATGGCAAACCACTTTAATATTCCCCCCTGGGGAATACATGGACAGAGGAGCCTGGTGGCATATGGGTCCATGGGATCTCAAAGGGTCAGATAAAACTGAGTGACTGAGCATGCAAGGCTATATATAGGATGTTACCACCCCTCTGTTATCTTCTCTCTCCTGATTATTTCCTCTGCATTTTCTGGCCATTTCAAGATGGCTGTTTGCTGATAGATTAACAAAGACAAGACTTCTGCCACATGAAAGTATTTAGCCTGAGGGGCTAAGAGAGGGATGTGATGCTCTACTGGTTTCCATGGTAACCAATTTAACCAAGGAGCCAAACTGCTGTTCATTCCTGCTGGAACTGGTAGACTCCCTACTCCCCCCCACCCCCCACCAAGAGAAGAATTCTGCAGCTGCTGTTTTCTGCCTGTCCCCTGCTATCCACAGTGGGTGTCTCTCCAGGATCCTTTTACTTCAGACATGGAAATCATCCCATCTCTTAAACCTTTGATATCTCTGACAACTCTGGGATCTTTCTTTGGTTTCAAGTCTAGATAAGTACAGGACTTGTAGGCCTGTGAATTGTATCCCAACAGTTTCTGCAGAGCATTTGACAGGCTTGATTTGATGATTCATTTCTAGGTATTTCCTGGGATCATGCACACATCCCAGGTATTCATGAGCCTTTGGGACACTGAAACATCAATGCCAACACCCAGATCTTAGAGGAATTCACAGCAGGTGTTCCTCTTGAGGGGACAGGTATGGACACAGGGCCCAGGGAACCTGTGCTGAACATCATCAGAGAAGAGGTGAGAAGGGAGGGAGAGACACTGCATCTCCTCACAAACCCATCCCTCCACCACTGACTCTGAGATCAGGGAGGGAGGGACACAGGGCCTTCAGAGAGACATGACCAGCTCACTGAACACTACACACCACACTGAGAAGGTGGAACAAGGCACAAGGAATTGACATGACATTCCATGCTCATAGACTGGTGACTTAGTTCTGTTGACATTTCTACACTACCTGAAACTAAGTAAAGATTCATTGCAACACCAATCAAAATATTAATGTCATTGTCATAGAAATAGAAAAAGCAATTCCAAAATTATGTATGGAACCACAAAGAACTCCAAATAGACAAAATGATCTTGAGAACAAAGATCAAAGTTTCTCACCTCTTGATTTCAAAACACATTACAAAGTTATTGGAATCAAAGCTGTATGATACTGATATAGAAACAGATACATAGCCCTAAATACCAGAATGTTAAAAAAAAAAAAAACAAGTAAACTCATGGATACAAGGTGAAATTAAATTCATGAAGGTTCTAAGACAACAAAATAGGGAAAGGGTAGTCTCTTCAACAATCAGTAGGATGGAAAGTTAACCTACAGAAAAATTGCAAAGCATATATCACATTAGGAGCTCATACTCAAAATATATCAGAAAATTCCATGGCTCAAATGCAAAACAAACTAAAAAATAAAAGGTAAATAAATGAGCTGAGGAGTGTGCAAAGATGGTGATCAAAACCATCTGGAGCTTTGGTCTGGAGGGAGTAGTGGGTTTGAAGGGGAGCAGTCACCCCAGGTCCTGCTGCTCTGAGTCTCTGACCTGGGTCTGGTCAGTCCCAGGAGACCAGGTCAGCAGGGCTGTGAGAGCAAATGTGCAAAGAAAGCCAGCGGCCCCTTCACAGGCTCAAGAGTCTGTGGCCAGGCTGGTCTCCAGGGGCAGCTGGACATGGACTGGTCTCATGTGGAAGCACCTTCAGCACAGCATCCTTGGGAAGGGGTGTTGCTGAGACGAGCTTCAGGAGCCTAGCCCAGGCAGGGATGCCACAGCACGTGTGCTCTGACTCGTTAAACCCTGAGAGCACCCTTCATACAAGGAACAAACAGTGAGGACAAACACGAGGGGAAACCACAAGTCCTGAAAATGCAGAGGGAGAGGGTTCACGTCTCACCCACTACCTGACACTCACTGCCAGAACTTGGTCTCCAGTGTCAAGCGGCTGTGAGAATTTTGTGCCCACAAGGATGTGGCCATCATAGGAGAATTTAAACATGAAGCCAAAGTTCCTTGTACATAAAATCCTGCAGGTACTAACCAGAAGCCAAGCTTTCACATTTAGCAGTGAAAGGACAAGGAAAGAGTAGTCTTGTCGCAAAGGACATTTTTACATGGACAAGCAAAAAGAGATGTCTTTAAGCACAGCACAGTACAGCACACGATCACATGGGTCTATAAAATCATTAAAATATGAAAAGAACAAATCAACATTCTACACATATTTCTTCCTTCTACTTCCTCAGTTTATATTCATCTTCCTTCACCTCCAAAGAGTTAAGTGTAACCCAAGTGGTCCTGGAACCCTCTCCCTGTTAATCCCACTTGAGAGTTGTTCCCTACCTGTGTTCTCTTCTGCATCAGTGCTGCTAACAGCTTCCAGGAAGCAGTCTGCAGAAAGACAACCGTGAGCAATAATACAGTTATTATACAAGTTGACTCACCCATTTCTCCTTCTCCACTTGGCTCACACAGCATCTCCCTGGTCTTTCCTCCAGGTTCACAGACCTCCCCTTTGTTTGTGGAGTCAGAGCCCTTCAACAAGATGTTGATCCCAGTTGCAAAATTTCATATGAGAGAGAGATGCTGAGAGAAACACATTTTAACCTTACACTTCTACAAGCCCAATATAACTCTTACATTCAAGCTTACAAAGCTGAAATTGCAACACTTAGGGACACACTTGAAATATGGCTACTGTGATCAACAAATGTGTATTTTTTGTGGTTTTTAAAAATATGTTAATTATTGTTTGAAATATGTTAATTATAGATAGGGAGATCTGACTAGTGGCTACTACACTGGAAAGTTCAGCTCTCCTAGCTCCAATGAAAAGGAAAAGGCAACTAATTGCCTCTTCAGGTTTTTCTCTGTTGTAGACAATTTGATGCCCTGATGAGATCAGTCATATGTAGGTATACCTGGGGCACTTGAACCTAGGCCAGGCATTGGGAGTGTGCTTGTGAACATCCCAATAGCAAGGTGAACACTCAGCTTCAAAGAAAATTCCCAGTAGGGGGCTCACTTGTAGGCAATGGTGAAGGGCATGGCCCAGAGCTCCTGTACGACAAGTAACCAGAGAGTAGGTTCAGAGGGGAGGGAAGGGATGTTCACTGTCTTCACGAGCCCATCATTCCCATCCCTGTCTCTAGAGGACCCAAGCAAGGCACCACAAAAGCCTCCCAGGAAGTGAAAAATTTGTGCACTGAACACCATAGAATACTTTTGAAAGAAAGAAGAGACAAGTAATTGGAATGACACACCATACTCATAAACTGGAATATTTAGTGTTGTTGACCTTCCTATACTCCTAAAAGTGATGAACATATATGTTGAAACCAC